TAACCTCATGAAATTAGATTGAGAAGAACATTTTTATTTTAAATCCCTCCTATCTTTACATGCCTGGATGGTTTCAGATGGTTATGACTCATAATTAAGTCATTAAAAATAGGTTGGAAAAGCCTAATTCAATAAAGTTTGTTATTTGAATAGTAAAAGGTTGATGCAAACTATTATTTTTGTTCAGTCCTGACATCCTTTGTGTGACTGTGGAGGTCAGACTCTCTCCAAACAGCCACATGATGAAGCTGTGAGCTCATGAATTGTTGGACAGTTTGACGTCTTTGGGCTTCAATGATTAATAATGTTCTTTTAAAGCCAAAACTAAAGTGCAGCTCATCAGACGACTGTAATGAAGTTCATGATTTCCCCCTAAAATGTAACTGAAAATAAGATCAAATACTTATGATCAGAAAATCAATGTTGTCACCATTTGATGTGTTTAAATTCACTTTTGCACCTAACGAGCTCTGTTGCATATTAGCGTAATTTAATACTTCCTTTCACACGTGGCTGCCGATACGTCCAACTTACTGATTTGAATAAACATTATTATATTCGACATAACGTTGCTAAATGCATCAATTTGATATTGAGTCTAAATTAAACTCAGATGTCAGTGTTTTGATTTAAAACTAAATTAAGTTGAAGTAACTTGTTCTTGTTCAGGATTCTGCCCTTTATCAGTGTCAGACGTTAGACTGGACACTAAAATTTATTTGATTGTAGAAGAAAAGCTGATTCCCTTCACTTAATGTAGCTTGTTGATTGAATATAATTTAATTAGAGAAAAGATTGATGCAAACTTAATTTATTAACATTATGTTTTAGCATGTAGAGGTCAGATCCTCTGTAAAGGTTCACAAGATAAAGCGAAGAAGTCATAAAATAATGTCACATCTTAGGGTTTAACATTTTTGTTTTGTTTTGTTTTTCAAATGCAAAAACTGAAATTATGTGACTGTTGTGGAATAAAAAATCCACGACTTCCTCCTCAAGTGTCTAATAATTATAAACAACAGAAAAGCAGACGGCAAATTAGCTTTGCACATAAATAATTCAGTCTCCACTACTTATTAAAGGCACGATTGCGAGATAAATAAAAGAAAAAACACACAATTTACTGTTTGTATAAACCTTTTAGGCTGAAAACAATATTTATTTCTTGTTGGATTGACATAATAATGTTGGTAATTGTATTAACTTAATATTGTGCGTAATTTAAACTCAAATTTCTGTTTTTTTTTTGTTTTTTTTTTTAAATTTGAAACTACAAGTGGAGCTAACTTGATGAAACTGGCTTGATAACTTTATTTTTCTCCTTATGCAGTTAAAAATATGTTTGATTATAGAAGAAAAGCAAATTCCTGTAATTTAATTTGACTTGTTGGATGAATATAAAATCATTAGAAGTTGTTTTAACTCATACTGATGCAAACATTATTTTATCGTGTGTATAGAAATCAGTTCTTTTGAAAACCTCCTTCAGAGCAGCAGCAGCTCTTAAAGTCAGTGTTTGTAATTAGTTCTGCTTGATTTTACCTGTTTATTCGTTTCACAACTTCTGCTGATACCATCTCAGGTAATTAGCTGTTTAAAAATAACACACAAAAAAATGCCGAACTTCACCATCAAAGAGCTGCTCGCTGGATTCTAGTTATTTATACCTGAACGCTCCCGTCTCCTGGACCGGAACCTGAACCAGAACCAGGCCCTCTGAGGGTTTGTTAATGGGCTGAGAGGAAACTAAACTACTGTGTAGCATAAAAAGATGCTAAATAAGAATCCTGACTTTTGCAGTAATGAGCTTGAACTTCTTTCCGTCACATAATCCTGCAGCATCGGTTCCAGCGAAGCCACCGTCAGTCTTCCCTTTGTTTTCTAAAACAAGCAGCGATTTCAGGTGTACTTTTGACAGTTTTGTATGATTTAGAAGAAGAAATAGGTCTATAAGGGATGTTTTTCCTCTCAGCTGACTGCAGGGATGTTCGGTGTCGGGGTTTGATTGGCAGCAGAAGGCAGGATGCCACAGTGTTTGCTCCACCGGGGAGCAGAGTGAAGGAACCTGCTGCTGCTGGAGCTGCAGCCTCCATGTCAGGGCAGACAGTCAGTGGTGCTGAAGAGTGGCGACCACACCAGCAGCTAACTGGACCCAAGTGACACGTGCAGGTACATTTACATGATGTTAAACGTGCTGCAGCTGAGCAGCTAATTACCTGTTTAGCCTGCAAACTGACATCAGCGGTGCACGTTTTTCCCGGCGAGTGTTTGTTCGACGGGCCGGTTCAACGAGCCGAGTGCAGGACGAGACGAGACGAGATGTTTGGACGTTAGATTTGGTGAAAATTTAACGTGAGTCTGTGGTGATGGTGACGTCTGCTCTGCCTATCGTCATGGTGATGCTTTAGGTGAGAGTTGATCGGATTAAAATAAGGTTTCCATCGACACAGATACTACAAGGGTGCCAGAAAAACAAACTGTATAAACCAATAAACAGCATAAATAAATATAGTTTAGCTGATTTAAACACAATAAGCGGTGTAATGTTTCAGTCACATTTTGTAAAAGAACAAATTTGTAAACTGTTGTTTTAAGGTGAACATGCAAATTAATACTTTCTTGTGATAAATCAGGATCTTATTTATGACTGAACAACAGAACATCTGTCAAATAACAGTTTAAATAATTAATTAACAAGTAACAATTCTTTTAAATAACAGCAGACATCTGTAAAATATTTTTGTCTTATTTAAATCTAGTTTTAAAAAAGTTTAATTTTATCTTTTAAAATGTTTTTTTTTTTTACAATGACTAGTAAATTAATATTTTTTGTGATTTCATTAGATTTTAGCTATAATTTACTTTGCTTTGCACTACTACAGTTATTTTTATATTTTGATCTTGCACCTTACTCTATATTTATTGTGGCACCAACCCACCAGAACAAACTCCTCGTATTGTGTAAACTACACCTGGCAATAATTCTGATTCTGATTAAACAAAACCTGGAAATCTGTAAAATAACAGTTAACTGCTCAGATTTTCAGGTAAACTGTTTGTTTCAGTCAGTGTAGGAGATGCATCATAGAAACAACAACAAAAAACCCTCAGGATGTGATTCACAGAGCAGATATTTAAACTGCAGCAGATGAAAAAAGCATCTCAAGTTAAACTTCATGATTTAGGTGAAAACCATAAAACCAAAAAGTCCCCCATTACTGCTGGGGACCTTTTGAAGGCAAAAAATACCTTCTAGCCCTCCAAAAAAAAACATTTTGATAAAGTCAAGCTTTGGATTTGCTTATTTTCCTTTTTGTTCGAGCTCTTCATTCTTCTTTCTAACTCCGTGCTGAAGCTCATTTGACGACTGAAAACAGAACGAATGACCAAGACCAGACGAGTTTGTTTAAACATTTTATTGCTATGTAAAATTAAAAATCTCATACCTCCAATGAAAAAAGTCCTACTCTTAAATAACACAAATAAAACCAGGCAAAATAAAGATATTTGGCATTGTGACTTGATGTTCGGTTCGATGTGAAGCAGTTTTAGCGTTTAGCTGCTCCTCCTGTTTAGTCCAACGGTTCAAAAAAATGCACACGGCCGTGTTGTGCAGACTACCATCTTTAAAAGTCTCGTCGTCGCCTCGTGGGAAACACACACACAGAGCACGTAAACTACTAAACATGGAACACTGTGTCCGTCCCTATCGACATTTAATACTCGGTTAAACTGAGGTCCTACGGTGAGTCGTGACGCGATAAATAAAAACTGAACACATGAAGTGAGATGTGCTTATCGTTGGCACACCCCGGCACTTGCACCGACGGGCACGGTCGAGGAAAAAAAAAAAAAAAGGCTGCAGCTGCTCAGTCCGGGAAAAATCAGGTGAGCCGATGAGTGGAGCTGAACAACCTGCAGCTCGGCCTCGTGATCCCGAACACGCTCAGGACGTCTTCTCGTGAGTGCAGCCGGTACAAAGACACAATAATTAATGACAACACAAAAACTTCAAGTATATTCCGAACGCAGCTCCTCGGTCTAAACCACTACATGTGGGTCTAAAGGGACTAAAAATCTAGGCATGCAAACACCACTAATGTGCAGCCGCTTTCTCTTCCTGTGACAAACTGCAAAGTGCATATGAGGACGTGGCGGGCGCTCGGAGAGGTTTGGCTCGTCGCGCCGTGGCATCAAAGTCGGCTCGTTCTCTAAGAGGCAAAGAGGCTTGGCTTTTACTACACTGACATTCTAAACACTGTGTTGCTTATTAGTGCTGCACTTCACACAGGTAAATCATGAAGCATTAGCATTCAAAAGTTAAACATTTTTCAGCTCTCTGGGCGCCTCCTCGCTAACGTTAATCTGAACTGCGTAAAAAAAAAACAAACATAAAGTGACCGTTAATAACATAAAGCCTCTGGTATAAGTTATGGAATAAATTAAAAGTTCAGAATACAGAAATAAAATAACTCATCACAGCCAGCAAAAAATAAGCTTTTTACATCCACTTGTTGATTTTTTTTTTTTGTTTGTTTTTTTCCAGATCAGCATTCTGCATCAGCATTCACTGCATTCATGGAATACCTTACAAAATAAATAAGTACATAAATAAATAATCCTTGCATTGTTTAGTATTTGTTATTCTTTCCTTTTACAGTACCATGACTTATAACTGTACAGTGAGTATAATACAGCAGTTACAATGAGAAAAGAGGGCCGAACCCATGGTCTGGTATCACTGGGGCTGGAGGGGGGAGGAGGAGGGGGGGAGGCTGAAGGGGACGGCGCCCGTCAGCGATCCCGAATCCGCGATCTTCCGCGAAGGGCTCGGGCCGAGGCGAGCCCCTCCGGTCCGGTTGTCCAGAGCTGCACCAAATTCAGATCCACAAAGATCTGGGTTTGGCTGGGCGAGAGTCGGGGTGGAAGGGGGGGTGGGGTGGCAGGGGGGGAAGGTCAAGAGGCGAAAGGTGTCAGGAGCCAGGGTTGCCACGGTGACCTCAGAAGTGGCCCATCCTGGCGGCGAAAAGGCTGCGGGAGCGCGGCACGGCCGAGGAGAGGCGGCCGAAGCTGGACGAAGGCCACTTCATGATGAACTGGGAGGTCACTGGCAGCAGATACCTGGACAGACGGACAAGAGCGAGGGACGGAGGGATTAGGGGAGAGGATGAACATAATGAGAGGATTAGTCATGCAAAGGTCACAATTTAGAGGTTGGGGAGCCTTAGCAGGCGCTGAGGCGGCACGCGGCCCACTTTTCATATATTGATTCTACCATTCTACGGCCGTCTCCATTTGCTCAATTCAACTTTAATAACAGCCCCGGTGATTTGGAGATATCATGACATCCCTTCACCTTGAAAACAGGACAAGAGGAGAGGAGCAAGAAGGAAGAAAAGTGGAGATCCGAAGCATTTTGTGTAGGGCTGCGGCTATTGATTATCGGCCTTATGAGCAAAAAAATGAATGAAAAGTGCCGGTTTTACTTCACAAGGCGGCATCTTTACATGTCGTTTTGTCTGAGCAACAGTCCAAAACCTGAAAATCTTCTTTGTTTTCTGCTTAAAAAGTGATTCAATTATCAAAATGTGAATCAGATTTTTTGGATTATATGTGCTAATTGTGCATCTGGTAATAAAATCATGAGCCTCACACTGAAATAAGCACATTATCTGTTGGTGTTGTTTTTAAAACTTTGACCCCTTACATTTCTGGTATCATGAACAGAAGATCCTCACCTATCATTCCGAGGCACAGACGTCAGTACCTTTCTAAGACTTTTCTATGACACCTTCCACCGAGACAGAGCAGTGAGGCAGCTCCTGCTAACAGCGTTCCAGTACCTGAGAATGAGATCAGTGTCAGGTTGAGATAAGAGTCAAGGAGGGGGCTGAACCCTGCTCCCATCTTCCTTCAGCTACTGGAAATGAGTCAGGTATGGTTGTCAGAGCAATGTCAGATGAGATGAGCAGATCCTGGACAAGGTTAACTGAAGGTTATGCAAATGTTTCGGAAGTTTGAGTTCTTCCAGACCGATCGGTTTGAACAGTGACTTATGTTTTTTTTTTCCCAGCACACTCGTCATATTGTGATATTGTACATGATGTGACCTTATTGCTACACGCGCCGCTCTTTAGCTAATAAAAAAAACTACATCTAATACCCGTTTAAACGAGTATAATGGTCAAAAGAAATAGTCCCCGAGGAAGTGTTTAAGATGTGACAATCTAATCAAAAGGGAGCCACTGGGGCTGAGGATTACAGAGTGGAGAAATAATATCTTCTTTTAAGCTAGTGCAGAGATAGCACACTTTCCCTCTGACAGCCCTCGTTCCTTGTGAAATAGCTCTTGAACAAATTAGCCGAGCAGCTTCTTCTGAAGTCGACCAGAAAGGGGAGAAGGGAAAAAAAAAAGAAGAGACATGTCGCTGAGGGCATCCGTTTCAACACAGCCTCAGACCCAGGAGAGTTAGGAGGGATTCAAATTAACTTGATTTAGTCCGATGAGAGTGTCCTTGAAACGGCTTGAAGTGGGCCGTAGGTATCCCTCCAGCGCATCGTCTTCATCTGCGACCGGACTCGCTGAACAATGGCTCAGGCAGTCCGACACGACTTCCTAAAGTTCTCCACTCGTCCCCCCAGGAGGGCCGGGCGGCGTACGCCTTCAGCCTTTTCACATTTGTTTCTATTAGGCGGCTCCGAGCGCAGCCTCAGAAGCGGCGCTCGGTGATTTCGCACCGTGATTTTGGGGTCGCCCTTGGATTCGTACGTCTTCCCTCCTCGCTCAGCACCTTATATTCCTTCCACCAGATTTGCCCTACATCCGCTGGGATCGTGTTCATGGGTTTGGGGTGTGATTTCTCCCCACAATCGGCTTCCAAGGTTCTCACTGGAAACCCTGAGCCTAGGTATGGAAATGGCAGTCGAAAAAAAAAAGGGAGAGAGAGAGAAAATCAAATATTGAACATTCATTGGGGGCCCGAGTGTGTGTTCTTCAGAGCTCCTCTGCTATTCACTTTGAGAATATTCAGCACATAAAAAGAATCACTGTGGTGGTGGTGGCGAGGGGCGGAGGTGGTGGGGGTGGGGGGCTCCTCACGTCCAAGCGGCTGCTGTCTCTGCAGGCTACATTTAATTGGACCCTCATTCGGCATCTTCCAGGTTCGTCCTCCTTTTGATCATGAAAAAGGTCTTGGCAACAACGTGCATGCTTGAAAGCCAGGGGAGGCTGTTTCATGCACTTGTGCTTTACTTCAATCCATCAGTTGACAGGGAGACAGACAGATGCTCGGCGCTGCGATCCATACATGCAAAGCTACAACCTACAACTGCTCCGCCGCCGCCTGACAGGCCTTCCGCACCAATCTTAAGTCCTCCGTCAAGATGCAACTGCTGCGGCGAATTAAGAGGAGGCCAGACGAAATGAAGCACCATGACTAAGGATGGAGAAGACGACTGCCGCCGATGGCTGACGCAATCAGAAGCCAAGAGGTACAAAGAGGCTTGAAGGTTATCTGCAGCCCACATTCAGCGCAACACCCCAATTAACCCTAATTACAGCCACGCTTTTCAGACAAATGAAAGTTAATAGAATCTGAAACTTTTGTCATCACGGGGAAATTGTCTTTGGGTATTGACAGTAATTCCAGGCTTAACAAGAAAGTCATTAGTGGGGCTATTTGGCTACTGCTTCTCATCTGCCCACACAGGCCGCAGGACTTTTCTCCAGCCCACGAGGCCCCTGATCGGAGCTCTCTGGAGCAGCCAGGTGTGGTCAGCGATGGAGACCCCAGCTAACCCGGCAAGTCTGACGTGGGCAAAAAAAAAAAAAAAGCTGCAAAGAGCTGTGCAAGTATAAATGTTTAATTTAAAGGAATCGGATGTTGACGGCAGGTTATAAGAGGATTTCAGTATGTTTTTGTGCAAATATTGAACTGGAAAAGCTGAATTCAAATAAAATCTAAAAACTACCTCTGTCTCTGTTTATGTGCTGCAAAGTCTGTCCTCAACAGCCTCTCAGAAATGTCAAACATGTGAAGTGCAATCAAAAAGTTCCAACATCTTTAGTGAGTCATGAGCCAGCAGCCACTTCTGTGAGTTATGATTCTGCACGTTACAAACTCTTGCAGATACGCATTTGCGGATTCACCTGCAGACGCTGCGCCGTGTCTGGAAGTCATCTCACACGGTGACAAACAGTCGTGTTGCTGCTTTATTTATTCATGTGTGAGGTCTATTAGTTATGTTATTTACTGCCGTGCGTCACCATCATCACTCTGGTTCAGTATTAAAGCTGAACATGTGAAATCCATTCATGTAAAAAATATATTTTTTCTTTTACATTTTTTAGATTTATCTTATTGTTTGATTACAGAATAGGCTGTGGTGGTGTTGTAATATCTGTATTTTCTGTGCACCAGGAGGAGTAGCGCTCCTAATTTTGTTGTACACAGAGTTTACAGCGACAATGGTTTTCTAATTTAGATGTTATTTCTGATTTGGACCTGCAGAAGTCTTCAAGCGTCTCTGCCAACAGGCCCGGGGTCACTGAACCTTTACTAGCGGATACCAGAGAGGATCCTTGTCGTTTTCTTCGACATCCACAGCTTTGTGTATCGTGAATTCATCCCTCAGATTTGGACGCCCAGTTCTGCTTTAACGCCATAAAACGTTCAGACAACCTCTGATGGGAAATGGAGAGAAATTATCTTGCCCCACTGACATCTTTATCGCTCTCCACCCACCAAACTCGCCATATTTGACTCCCTAAGACGACTACATTTTCTCAAATGAATTCGGAGGGGTCAGAATGTAGACGTGGAGGAGGGGATGTGCTTACAGATTGGATTTCCACATAGCATTGTGTCACCGAACAAGGAGACAGCTTCTAAAGTTAATTCTTCATGCATGGTTTTTGCTTTTTTACGTGCAGTCTTGGAACTTTTTGATCACACCTCATATTATAATCTTATATTGAATGACTAGTGCATTTAAAAAATTCTTGAGCCTTTGCAAGTACTACTGAATAAATCATTAGAAATATTGTATGTATTTAAAAGTCTCCATTAAATGATAGGATCACATTTTTCAAGCATGTGTTGCATTAGTCACATGCTCATACATACACATTTTATTCTCAATGTCCTTACTGATGCAGTTTTAATGTAAGAGACGAGGGGAACGAGCCACAATCCATTTTTAATGCAGTAAAGCAGAATCGAGTCCAGCTGAAGCGAATACGTGGCTTCGGCAGTCTGACATAAACACATGGAGGGTTGATAGTTCCTCTTTGTGTCTCCGTGGACAATGAGAAGACAGCAGTTATTATCTGTTGTTCAAGGACTGTGGATTGTGTCCCTTGTCTCTTACACTGTAAGGACAACCAGCACATTGTTTATCCCTTTTAGTTGGATCTGAACACAGCGCAGGGAAAAATAGTTTGAGGTTAGCCGAGTGTGGAGAAGAGGGACGGATGATCGTTGTGTAACAGTCACATGACATGTGCATGCACACCCACACACACACTCGCACAGTTTAGCCTCTCATATAAAGCTTATGCATCAATGAGAAAATAATCCTAATTGCTTGTCAGCTATCTGAAGTGGTGGTGGGTTGCGACTGTCCCCCTGCATGCCTGATGGAGAGATGTGAGCCACTCGTGTTGTGAAACTGCAGACCACACGATGTGAGCGGAGCCATTTTCTGTCTTCTTGTGACAAGAAGAGAGTGGTGCTCAGGCTGATCATGGCACTGATGCGGTGCAGGTGAGGCGCTCGGTTTCCCACCGAGGCCACTCATTCTGCAAATGCACTCAGGGGTAAGATGCTCTTGATAAAAGCAGTGAGAGAAAGGCCGAGTTTGGCATGTGGCAGCAGGGTGATCGGCTGGTGATGTGCTGCAAGCGGGCCGAATGGTTGCGGTGTCACAAACAGTCTGAATATGCTTCCGTCTCCTATTACTTTCCCGTTTTTCGTACATTTTTCTTACAGTTTTGAGCCACAAATAAAGAGACGCTTTGAATCTCATCCCATTCTCATCAGTCAATCACTTATTTGGATGTTAACGAGGGAAAGAAGAGGAGACCATGCCGGACTGTTGGTTGTGCAGCCAAAGCAACCATCTTTTTTTTGGGGGGGGGGGACGGGTGGGACCAAGCCTTTGGTTACAGCTGTGAGGTGGTGGTGGGAGCAGCGGGAAGCGGGTGAATAGGGACAGTGCTGGAAGATGGGGGGTTTAGCAGAACTAAACCAAGCAGAGACCTGCATCGAGGGGCGAAGAGACGGAGGAAGAGGAGGAGGAGGAAGCGGCAGCGACAGCAGCAGGAGTGGAGCCATGGGTAGAGGTTGGTCCAGCAGCGAATGGTAAGCTTTTTTACACAGACATATATAGACACAGAAGAAATAAGGAGAGACAGACCATTGCATGCTTCAACTGACTCAAGGACACCTGCTGTAAATATATAGCGCATCACTTTGTGCACGATCGAGCTGCGAATTCTATCTTTACACGCTGACGACTTCATATTCTCCAAAACTAATTTTCTCAAGTTAAAACATCAACGGCAACAATGTCGGATTAGCGAGAACCTAAAAAGCAGCTCTTCAAACACAGTCCACATACTTGTTTTAACAGCCGAGGTTTTTATACAGTAGGCACAAAGTGATAACCTGTTAAAATATGCGCAAGAGTTATGAATCATGTAAAGCGAGGCCCCAGGAAAAAAGGAGCTCTCTCTCTCTCTCGTAAGGTCATTTGCTGCACAGGCTCATCTGGGCTCTAATTGAATTAAGCAGGCCTCCAGGGGCCCCGGGCTAACCTGAGCGCTAATCTGTGGGCCATTATTTCCTGTTAACAGCACGCTCCCTCTCTCCCTCTCCAGCCCAGCTCCCTCCAGTCTGCCAGCCCAAAGCATATGCGATTTAAAAGTTCACTCATTCCAAACCTGAGCTGCCGTCTCCCGTGGGGATCGACCTTAAAAATAGACTGATATTTGCTTGTTTGTTTTATCCGGGGTTTTTGTGATGAAGACGATGGCCTCGAGGCTCCGTGGAGGAGACGGGGGAGAGAAGATGATGCCTGAGAGAGGTTTAATGATGATAGCTGTGGAAATTTCAATTCAAAGTCTTCTTGTCTGTATCGTTGATTTACTCAATGTGGGGATTTTCTTTTTTTTTTTTCATCTAAAGGGAGTTTTCAGTTTACTTCTCGGCACTTGTGGGGTTCAGACTGTCATAGCTCAGCTCTAACTAGTTTAACGTGGGTCTAATTATTAAATATTCATGGCGGATGTCTCCTGTTATCTTTACACGTGTGAGCATCCCGGTGGACTCGTCCCTGATGTGTGCTGCGTATGCTGTGTTGTTGTTTTAGTGTTTTGACACCGTTATGACCATACCAGTGATGCACTAGTTTAATTAAGAGTGAAAACAATCCACTTGTGGTTCTGAAAACATCTTCTGACCAAATCCACTGCCTCTCTGAGTTATTGTGTAACCCTGCTTTTTAATTTGCTTTTCAGGCATTTAGATTAACACTCTTTACAGAGCTAAGCTCAACATCGTGCACAAGGACACCGACTAAGTGCAGCTTGAACCTTGGACCTACCACACTCTTGAGTTGTATCCTTGAATCTTATCCAGCCTCCCTACTGTATAATGAACTATCTATTGCAGCAGGAATGCTATAAGGATCTTTAGAAAATAAAGCACTCAGTGGGGAGACATGAAAGAGTTGGCTGTCCTCCTCACCTCGTGTCATCCCATTCGGGGCTGAGTCCGGTCAAAGAGCCGCGGGACTCGGAGACAAACTTGTAGACGACCAACAGGCAGTCTCGGCACAGCTGGACCAGCCGGCGGCAGCACTGCAGCTCCTGGGGCGACACCACCTCGCTGCTCTTACTGAAGATGGTCTCCCACGATGAGCTGGAGAGCAGAGAGAGGGCAAAGCTATGCAATCACACACAAAGTGAATGTAAGATAAAAGCTGCAGATGCCGCCATGTTAATTGTGCATGCACGGTAATCGCACACATCAAAGCGCCTTTCAGACCTGCTCTCCTTTCTGTTAATCTGAATTTAATGTGTCGGCTTCGTGTCTGAACGAGCACCCTGCTCGCCTTTCTGTAGAAGTTGTAACAGGAATCTTACAAGGTCAAACCTAGTAGTAACTGCATAGAGTCACATTGACAGACACGTGCAGGCGACGGTGCTTTGAGTTGTGTGAAGCTATTTAGGGAAGATGTTTTCCACATTTCAGCACCGATATTGGTTCAAAAACATAGAAGAAGGCACAAAAGACAATATTTGCATGGCAAAATCACAACACGGTTTTCTTATTTACTTTGCTGAACAAGTTCTGATCTGTTACAAACTGAAATGTCCATAAAATAAAACTTTACTCCAAAAAAACACAAATGACTAATAATGTTATTTGTGTTTTTTTTTCTCTCTACAAGACATTGACAATAGCTTAAGTTCAGTTTGTTGCTTCCAGTAGTTTTTTTCTCCAAGTTTATTAAACAGCTGCAGCATCAGACAGCAGCAGGATCCACATGAGCGTCTCTAAAGAGAGTTGTGCACATTCATGCATGTGGAACAACAGCGCCGCTATCTTCATTAAAAAAGTTATCCCCAGCATGGAGACAGGATGGATCAGGAGCTCACACTTTACTTTTCTTCACCTTGGAGTCACCGTTTATCAGCTGCAGATAAATCACGAGTTACACAGCCGTTGTACTCAGATTTAATCCTGAGCCTCGTCACAGCTGCTCTGATATTTTTTATTTTCCTGCTGATAAAGTAGCAGTTAGATTATCATCACAGTTGGACAGAATTTTTCAGTTTATAGGAAATTATAAATATACTAGGCTGTTGGTTATTCTGACAGTTTGATGAATTGGTTTTTAGTGCATAATTCTGTATAAAACATGACTTTATGTTCTGCCAAATCTGATGTGAATGACAAATATCGTAGCGTGACTCTGTCACTGTGAGGAACAAGTACAGTGACGTCAGTCTGAACGACAGGATGCCGTCACTTTGCCGTCACGTCTGAAAAAGGCTAAATATGTTTCCTAAACATGCGGCCGTTGACTGTTCATGTGTGCATCTACATTTGCACGCTCTCTCCCATTTACTGACATGCAAGAAGACCAACCGACAGACAGACGGAGGCAGGATGAAACAAATCCAAGTACAGTTAACCCCCTTTACATACCGGACATACCCCTGACTGTGAGAGAGCTTCAACAACTGAGACACACAACCCCAGGGGGTACGTTTGATGTCTACCCCTTTTCACTCCTTGGGAGGTGGGAGGTGCCTCCTCTGAAAGGGTTCAAAACTGTGTGTTTCCATTCTCTTCCTCTAAGTCGTTTTCAAAGCCTGTTGAATTCATCGCCCACAATAGCTGCTGGGCCGTTTGATTGTTGTTAAGTCCCTTAGATAAAATATCAAACAGCAGACGGAGAGGAGCGGGGAGGGCGGTGGGGGGGCTTCACTCGGATTTGGAGTGTGCTTTTCGAGGTGCACCGCTTTGCCGGCTCTGCGTGACACCGGGGCCCCCTGTTGGGTTCATCCATGCCGGGGCCGTGGCCCGCTGTCGGGAGGGGCCCGGCGATAGGCTAGCAAGCTAGCTGGATGATCCAGGGCAGGCTGTGATCAGACAAAGGCTGCCTGGGGTGCAGCATGCTGGGGGTAGCTGAGGCTAGGCTAGGCTAATCCTCGCGGGCCAATACCCATCCACCCAATCTGTGCCGTGTTTTATAACATCTCATTCTCGGTCACTCTCCTCTCCCCCGTGTTCTCCGCCACCGGGCTCCTCCTTGTCTCCCCCTCTGCTTATCAAGCCCTTCATCTCCATCACCTGCTCACTCCTTTTCTCACTCTCCCTCAATTAAGGCAGCGACGGAGGAGGAAAATGGAGAGCGGAGACTTAAGTTACACCCTCTGAGCCCTCTGTGTCGAGGGGACCACGGCTACCGAGCTACTGAACTGTGAAGAGTGTAGAGAGGAGGAGATGTTAGAAGGTCACACCTTTATCACAAGGAAGATGAGAAGCGACCAGCAGCTGTCTGCATTTCAGGCCTGTTTATACTGAATGTGGGTCTGTCTGGATACAACCAGAGGATTGTGGATGGTGTTGGATGTTTAACCAAATATTAGCATAGCTGTATGTATATTTTTGACCCCGTGGGTTTTGTCATATTTCCAGAAGACCCTTAATAAATCTATGAAAGAACCAAAATGCACGATGACAGAGACGTGTTTCAATGATTCCATCGGAGAAAATTCAGAATTGTACGACTCATTGGAAACTCAAGGCTGCCATGATATTCATGGTCTTTACAAGTCGATGGAAAGTGTTCAGCCTTTATTATTTTATTTTCATCTTTATGTACTTTTGTATTTCTCGTCTTGTTTCTTTCAATGCGTCATTTGTATCTAGCTGCTAATAACGTGTGAATCTTCCCAGCGAGGGATCAATACAGTTTATCTTCTCTAATTATCTTATCTTGAAGAAATAAAGGACTCTGCAGCTGTCTGGCTGTGCGTGAGCGTCCGTTCTTAAGCGCTGCAAAATATATAAGACAGCCGATGTGAACCGCTGGCGTGAAACACAACATTTTCGTGTTTGTGCGACATGATCGAGTGAGCTGTAACGGCAGTGACTCATCAGAAAGGAAGCCACTTTCTGTCACTTCGAAAGGAAGAAGAAAAAAAAAGGAAAAAGTTGGAAAATAAATAAATAAAAGCAGGACACCACAATACAACTTCGGAGGATCAGATAACAACCCGAAGCAAAGGAACTAAAAGGCCTTCATTCACCTTCTCGCTGCTTCCATCCCTCCCCTTTCCTTTTTTTTTTTTTTCCTTCTCTTGCGCTCACCTGTGAAAAAGCCCTGATTAACAGCCTCGATTTGTGACCTTAATTTGCACCCTGTCTCCACAGAGTTCCATGTTTCTTTCATGCCCAAGAGCTTTGAGCAGAGTGCAGTGGGGTCTTCCTGGTCTGTCACTCACTCTCTGTCATTCAGCTGCAGTCGTACTCAATGAAAATGGCAAATTGTCCCTCGCTGTCACCGAAGCTGGTATATTGATGAACACTGGGCTCGAGGACGCGGTTGGAAATTGCGCGGCGCACGAACCTCTAGTTACGGAGATGGAGGAGTGACGCAACGCGCTGAATGAAGAGCTAATTGGCTTCCAGTGTGATCACTTGTTTGTGTTAATTATGAAGCATTTGATTCCATGAACATCATTCATTCATTCAGGGGGGCTTCTTCGTGATACCCAGAGCATTTTTTTTTTTAAACTTCTAATCTTGTCCTTGGCTTAAATGATCAGTTAGTCAAAATCAAACTCATATTATCGGTACTGAGGTTGTTGTTTTCTTTCTACAGTTTTCCTGAATGTGAATTTCGTGACCTCGGAGCTCAGAAAGTCAGCTGATGTAGCCCGGTCGTGTGCTTCACGCTAACCGAAGAGCGTCACAAATTGTGTAACTTTCTGAAATTGACAATCCCTCTCCTCACATTTACAGACATGAGATACGTACCGCTGCTGCTGCTGCGTGAGGCTGATAAAGTGAAGCAATATTTGTCGTTCAGATTTGACATCGCATTAAGTGATGTATAATAATGCACAAATAAACACAAAACTAAACTGATAGCAGCTTGTTGCACCTAAAACACCTAACAGCCTGGTGTGTTTGTGAATAAAAATTCTGCCCATGCATGATGATGATCTGCTGCTTTACCAACAGTACAGTTTATAACCATATTTGCTTTATATTTTTATATTCAGTCACATTTAGCTGTTCCGCTGTGCAGCAGGTGCAAATGTGCACAACTCTTTTGCTCATATGGATCCTGATGCTGCAGATATTTAATTAACTCAGAGAAAAGACTCCTACAAACAGCTGGAAGCAACAAATTCACTTCCTGTTAATGCCTCATGGGTCAAAAAACCCCCAGATGATGTATATATTTAGCTACTACCACTGATCTGTGCCTGTTTATCTCAAAGTTAGACTTTTCTAGAAATTTTAGTAAAATTCTAGAGCAAAGTGAAGTTTTTTGGGACCAATATTGGTGCTAAAATTATATTTTAAAAAGAAAAAAAGTCTTCCTCAAATACTTTAACACAATCTGAAGAACTGTTGTTTGTGTGTTAATGCGACTGGGTGCAGTTCAGACTTGTACCGTGTTGAAAGTGATAAATAACTGGCACTAGATCTGATCTAACAGGACTGCCGTTGCAACTTTTGCAACAGAAAAAGTGAGCAGGTGGTTCATTCACACACGAGGTCTGTTCAGCTGCCTTCAGATTAACGGAAAGGTGTGAACGTCTGAAACGACTCCATCAGGCTCTTTATTTCCAATCTTCAGCTACTTTCATAGTTTACAACCAAATGCCGACGTCTTCCTTGGAGTGCGACTGTTCCGTGACTCCATCTTTATTCTAACCCAGTTCCTAGCCTTGCTCTGGCTGGCCTACCCACCCAGTGTTGGAGAAGCAGTTCCACAGGCCCTGTCCGTGGCTCCACAGCAGCCGGTTGAAGACTCGGTTGAAAAGCCGGTAGAGGTGGAGGCTCTCCACGTCCGGCTCCCTCCAGATCCGCTGCAGCGCCGAGCGTACGTTGGTGCGAACGATGTCCAACACCTGAGTCACGGAGAAAGCCAGGTGGACATGGAGGAAAGAGAAAAGAGTGTGACACAGGTTTAACTCGAGCACGCGATAATGAGGGAAATTAATGCTGCACTGCAAAAGGTGACGGCACTCCTAATTGATATGCGTGAGCTGGCATTTGTTCCAACTGTAATTTCTTCCTCTCTTTTTTTTCTCCCCCCTTTATCTTACCTTAAAATTAGCAATCACGGCGGCTAATACGTGCACTCGGTAGCAGAGAGCAAGTTTGCATTTGTGAATAAATACGGACAAATGCATGCGCGCGCACACAAGAAGGCAAACACGTGAAATATATGCACAAACACATCCTGAAAACCACTTTAATCAGACTTTACAAACATATAGCGGGCAGGTTTATCTCTGCATTCGGCCCCGCGCCGATGCACAACGTATGTCTCATTTGTGTGTGTGTGTGTGTGTGATGCTGCGGTTCAGGCAGGACACAAAGCGTTGGGGGCAGACAGTGGAGAGTATGGGAGAGGACTAATTGCTGCACCAACGTCAGTCTTGGAGATAAGGTGTCACAAGTTCCCGGGCGGTCTAAGGACACCTACACCAGACTTCCATCTTCCCTTCTTCGTTTTCCCCCCCGTCCCCTCCCCACCTCGCTGCCTCCGCTTCCTCCCTTTTCCTTTCTCTTTTCACCCCGCTCAGAGTGCAATGCTGTGGCTCTTTTGACTTTGATTCCTTGCTCCTCATTACTGAAGTGCCCATCTGATTGTGCATGTGTGTGTGTGTTTGCCATGCGAGGAGGGCCAGATTTCCCCGCAGCAATGTGAGGCGAGCCTCACACACACACACTCAGACAAACTGATAGATGAGTAAACACACACAGATATGTTTTGGTATGGTAATCAGACGGCAGAGCAGTGGGCGCTACGTTCCTGACCTCTGCCTGCTGCTCATTAGGCTGCTCCACTCCAAATAAAACATCAGCTCGCACCACCACAGCCCACAACGCAGCCGAGCACAGTTGTGCAGAAGGCAGCGGCTGAGAGATCACATCATTACTGACACGCCTACTGGATGCCATTTCACGTCTTGTCCCCTCTTCTGTTTTGTTTACATCCTATTTGGTGTCTCTGCCTCTCACTGTCTGACATGGTAATGATCTTCATGCTTGTCAGTTTTTTTTTTGTTGTTGTTTTTTTTTTTTGTGTGTGTGTGTTCCTTTGCTCTGAAGTTTGGTTTTGGGATTATTTTTGTACTTTAAAAGTTGTTCAAAAGCTTTCAAAGGAATAGGTGAGCGCGGTGACATTTTGTCATATTCGCCGGTTTTAACAGCGTTCATTGTGTACAGGGTGACAGTACAGACCTCGCGACAGCAGGGGCAGAGGCAGGCAATTTATACAGGTGTCAAAAGATAAATGTTTCCCATTTTTAACACTTTCAGGATTAACATATACAAAAACGAAGCATTATGTCTGACGACGGGGTCTGAGAGCGTCGCTGTAATAATGTGCTGCCAGTTAAAAAAAAGAGTGTTTATCTTTGGTTTTATGTCTTTATCCAGCAGTTGGCCACAATCCCACCAGACTTTACCCTCTTTGCGATTCCTATTTCACAAAATCCTGTATCTATATTCTTTTTGCGTCTTGTTGTGCGTCGGGGTTCAGATCTTTTCCACTCACTGGGCAGTAACGTTCAGGATTAACTTATACAAAAATGAAGCAGTAAATCTGACAACAGTGTCTGAGAACGTCACTGTAATAATTTGCTGCAAGGTAATAAACCAAGCGCTGATTTTATCTCTTTTTTTACAGCAGTTGGCCACGTTCCCACTGGACTTTACCCTCTCTGGAGGACAACTTTGCAATTTCTGCTTCCAAAGTCCTGTTTTTCTCTTCTTTTTGGAATCGTTTCTTGTTGTGTGTCGGGGTTGTGCCCTTTTCCACTCGGTAGGCAGCAACTCGAGGCCCTAAACATGTCCCGAAGCAGCTCGGAAGGTAAAAATTTCTTCCGAACATGGGTTGCTGCCAAACTGTTCTCTGAAAGGTCAGTCGGGGGTAAACTGGCTCAGGTATCTTTCAGTTTGGATTCCAGTGTAGGACTCACCTTCCGCTGTTTGGTTGAGTCCAACTTCACCAGCCAGTACGAGGCCACCTTTGGTTTATGATATTTCCAGTTGTCGAGAATCTGTGGAAGAAAAGTCTGTGTTTAAAAAAAGTGAAAAATAATCTTGATATCACTGCTGAAGTCGTTGTATGCTCTCCTTGCGCCTACATGGGTTTTCTGCAGTCTAAACACATGCATGGGAGGATAATTGGTGGTTTTAAATAGATGTGAATGGTTGTTGGACCGGCGACCTGTCCGGAACCTACCCAGCAACCCCTTCACAAGACAAAAGCAGCTCATTTAATGGATGGAACATTAAAAACACCCTCAGAGCATTTCACAGGCATCAATTAGGCAAAAAAGGAACACTTTACGATTACATTCCTGCTGCCATTTTATTACATTTGTTGTTTCCCACCAATACTCTGTCAAAACTCCGAGTAACTGCAGTATTCTTTCGGGACAGACATTGTTCCTGTGCAGTTCAATCACTGCCAAAAACACCAGTAATAAAAGCAGCAGAAAGGGCTGGAAAGACACCTGCAGGTCTGTAAGTCTTGGTGAAACTTATTCTATGGAGGTTCTCTGTACTCATTATGCTGCTCTACGGCAACTTGTCACTGCCAAGCCAGACAGTGCCAAGCCCGAGAACAGCTCAACTTATAAACTACTTTCTTTTAGTACTTTAAAACCACAAGAATGTCTCGGAAGACAGAGAAAAATATATTGCTATATGTACAATTTTTAGAGCTCATTACCCCGTTCACACGTTCGTCCTGGCAGACACCTCGACTCAAGACGTGGAATCTGCAGCCTTACCGGGTTAGTGGATCTGTTAATCTAATAATTTTGTGGCGTATCGGTGCCTGTTATTGAAAAGTTCCCTGTTCAAACATGACAGAAATATTACAGACGGCGCTGCAATGCTTGCACTATATTCTGGATCTGGCACATCAAACAGAGCAACACAGGAAATCTAATGTGCGAGGCGAGGGAGTGTTTACTGCGGCACGTCACTAAACTGTCGTGTTGCCGTGTCGTCACTGCACCTTGTGCTGCCTCTACGTGTTGTAATCAAACCGCAGCATTTAAAACATCATCACTTCTTTGCTCCTGGCTGGTTCTGATGCTGCACTGTGCTCCAGGGCATTTTCAACCTGGAAACCGAGCGCGCGGACCTGGCCAGAGAAAGAGTTTGTCTCCTGTTTTATTTGTAACTTTAACTGCAGCACACCTGAGGGATAATAGTCAACTAAACAAAAGTGAAAAGGGGGGGAAGAAAAAAAAAAAAAGTTGTGATCTTTGGTTCTTTAGGACAGAAACTCTATGTTTTGTGCATGTGTCAGGAATCCTTGGGGTGTTTGTTGTTATGCTCAAAAGCTGTGCTGGATATTCCCGCGCACTCGCTCCCAGTGCCAACATTACTGTGTACCTACAGGCGCTGTTATTGTTACCGTGTTGATTCAGTCTACATCTCCCCGCTGGTGCACACACCTCGCACGTAGCGCACTAGATCCCTCGCAAACACTGTTCCCATTGGGAAGCTCCACTGTAAATGTGTGTGTACGGACACACACACACAC